ATAAAAATTAAAATAAATTCAGGAAAAGAAAAGGGACCCATTGTCGGGTCTGGACCCGGACCATCTCGGTCTGTAACAAGCTGGAGCCCAACAGAAAACTCCATTTTCGGAGAGCTTCGTCTCATTTTTTCACATTTTTCAACATCTCAACCTCAAATTCGATCTTTTCTTCTATTTTAACTATAAAAAAATTGAATTTAACTCATATTCAAATCCTAAACATTCTAACTTTCACATATTCAAAGTAATTATTTATAGAGAACATGTCTAACCTTCCAGAAAATGGCGATCTCCAGTTGATCGAGGTGTGTTCGGTCTTGGTAGAAGTGGGTCAGGTCGGGTTCATCCGTAGGCGGCGAGATCCAAGTTAGTTTTTCTTTCTTTTTTTTCTCTCTATGAAACTCTTCTCTTCTATGCAAATGAGGAGGGTTCAACCCTTTGGATTTTGTTTACATTTCATTATTTTTTTATTACAAAAAATTTGGTCAAAGACCCTTTTGAAAAAGTGGACGAGTGGGAGAGTCATTGGCCACCATTTCCTCCAGAAATTGTAAAAACTAATAGGAAGTCAGGATTGTAACATGATATAGTCAAAGAAGCATCACATGATGATCCACTTGCATTGGATTCCCAGTAGATTTTTCAAGAAATTTAGGTATATAAACTTTAAAAACAAGAACTTAATCACCCCTTAAAATTCCCATCACAAAATTTCTTCTGTCATCGTTTTATCAAACAAAAGTAAAAAGTAATCATAGACATAATTATGATGTTCCACTTGAGAATATTAAGGGGGTGTTTAATAGGCATTTTTATATAAAAATGTATTTTAAAATAATAAATTGATGTGAAATGTGTGGTTGAGAAATAAAAAAAAGTTTTTAATTTACGTATAATATTATATTAATAAAGAATGTATGGTTGAAAAAAAGAGAGAGAAAAATGCATTTTCAAAAAATGACTACCAAACGAGGCCTAAAATTGATTCAGGACAACTTGTCAACAAATATTAAAATCGTAGATATATTAAATTTAAAGCTACATTAATATA